CAAGCTCACAAGCTGCATCCATAGCATTTTAGACAAGAAGTCATCAGTAATGACTAAGTTATTCCTATTCCTATCCCATTATCTCCTGGCCTAGAGCAGAATGGGAGGAGCTCAGCTTTTCCTTGATGTAAATCAGTGCATTTCACCCCAATTTGCAGCGCTGCGGACATTTGGATGAGATCTTCCCAGAATGTTCTGTCCCAATTTCTTCAAGACTGGATTCCACCCTTGCACCCAGAGCCCCAGATTGGCCTTTCTTTGCCTTACAGTGCTGATTAGAATGTGTTGGAAAGGAGAGGTGGTGCACATAGTGGGAATAACAGGGAATTTGTCACTGACCTCATTCTTGTGAGCACCAGGAGCATAATGGGAATGGGAAGAAGTCCCAGTGAGGTGGATAATTTAGCTCCTCAAGCAGATTTTAGCCTTGCCCTGAAGCTAGAAGAAACACTTACTGCTTCTGGTCTTGTCATGCTCATCTGGTTATTGAGTAATTGAGGCTTTTTACCTTCAAGTGCCTGGAAACACGCCATCCCTTATCTCCCAGCAGGTAAGAAGAGCTGAGGAGAAAAGGAGGAAAAGCCCCATGCTCTGGCCAGGGGAATTGAAGAGACTTCAAAAGTGATGGCAGTGGGATGCTCTGTCCCTTCCACTGTCCATAGGGCACGGCCAGAGAGACCCACTCAATTACAAATCAATAAGAGCACTAAATTGAGGTGCTGGAGGGTGACATCCCCACTCCCCACTGTCTACACAGCCCCCAAAGCAGGTTCCCAGGTCACAGCCAGCCTTGCCTCCATCCTCCCTCCCCTTTCCCTGCAGGTCAGCAGCACACAGTTGCTGCCCTGAAGCACTTTTCCACTTTTGCTGAATCATATGAAAAATTCAGCTCGAGTTCCAATCATTCATCACAAAATAAGCTGATGGTTAGACATGCTATTTTAAAGCAGATATTAAAATAAAGAAAACAGCCACTCTCCCTTGCAAGAGAAATACAGCTGGTTTTCCTTTAATTCCATTCTGGTTTCACCTGATTTTTCCCCCTCTCATTGCAAACTCCTGGAGTTGCCAGAGCACTCACCCAGAGTGCAGAGCAGAGCGCAGAGCATCGCACTCTGCAGATCTGCAGTGCTGCCCTAACAATCCAGCACTGCTGAGAGCTGCTTTGAAAACATCACCTTGCAGCATCCCTGGGCAACAGTATTCTCTTCTCTTTTCTATTGCGAACCTACAGAAAGGACTGGTTACATTTTCCCTGGAGTTCAATTACAGAACCCTGTGCCTTTCTTTCCTTTGCTGCTCAAATCAAATACTTAAAGAGTTTCTTGCTGCAATGGCAGAAATGCATTATATCTTGGGCAATGTCCAGAATAAGAGCATTTGCCTCATTTACAGCACTAATTGAGAGGTTTATTGGCCTACAAAAATATTCCATAGCTCTTAGGGCTTCCTATAATGTTGCACACCTTGAAGGCCTGTTTTCTGAAAGCACTGCATCATGCCATGAGTCACTGCATAGCAGGGCTGGGGTGTGGGGACAGGGAGGGGATGGGACCCTCTCCCAGATTGACCCAACAGTGGCCATGTGGGGCTTTGTCCCAAGGGGACCAGCAAAACTGTTCACCTTTATCGTGAGAAAAGATGCCATGCCAGATGTTTCAGGTTGGATAATAGGAATAATTCCCTGGAGGTGTGCAAAAACGTGGGGATGTGGCACATGAGGACATGGTCAGTGGGCATGGTGGGATAGGCTGGGATCTCAGGGGCCTTTTCCAATCTTAATCATTCTGTGATTCTATGACTCCATGTGAAGAAAGGCTACATTTCATCTACAGCCCCCCAAATGATTGAGTGTCCCTTAAATAAGACTTCCTTGAACATCATGCAATTGCTGTCCATGAGCCACGTTTCTCTATGCAGACATGAATAATGACTTTTAGATGACTGGCACTGATTTTTCTTCTGCTCAAGAAGGAACTAGTTGTATTCGGTGGTAAATTTCAACTCTGAACAATGCTGCATATTTGTAGGGATGCTGAAAAATGTCAGCTTTTTGAGAATATGGAGCCCTCAGAGCTCTTCGTTACCCTGCAACTTTATGAGCCTCAAGATTTTGGTTCCATTCTCCATTGTTATGAAGACAATAAACGTGATTTGTTTTCATAAGGAAAGCAAAAAACCTTTCCACTATTACTGAGCTTTGGAGCAGGGGCTTCCAATCGTAACTTCACGTGCTGGAAGCTCACCATCGACAGCAAGCGCTGGGACTGAAGGTGCTCCCTCCTCTTCCTCACATCAGTTCAGGGACCATCATCACGTGTCCGACCGTTTTTAGCAGGGACCTCAGAACAAAGTAACCTTACAAGAGCAGAGCAAAGCAAGCTCTGCCCCGCAGACCCATGCTGTAATTTTATTTAGCCTGATTAGTGATTTTTTTTCACCGGCGCAACTGGATTTCATCCCTACACAGCACTGCCCCAGTTATAAGTGGGTTGCTAAAATACCAACTTTTGCCAAGATATCCTAAACACCATTTTTATAGGTAGTATATGCAATCCAGACCCTCAGCTGGTGGAATTTGGCACAGCTCCACCAGCACCAGTGTGGGGACACTGATTTACACCAGTGTGGGAGCCAGATCCGGAATGCTCTCAGCTTATCTCGGTTTTACTCCACCACAGCATTTGTTTGTGCTGGTCTCAGCCCTGCTAGAGGCACTGAGCTGATTTGGGCCACCAAATTAAAGCACCCCATCGCCTTGCCTGGGAATGTGAGGATGCTTCTGCTTCCTATTTCAAAGGGACAGCAACCCCGGGGTGCTGGCAGTGCAAAACTAGCCTTGCTCTGCCGCATCTTTCCTGCACTTGCTGCTCATTTCTTAAGAAGAGACTTCACAGTCTTTCAGGAAATAATTATCTTGGTGAGACCCAGCCCTTGCTGACTTGATGGACAGCTTCTGCAACAGGCAGGGAGGTGCCTGAGCTGGGAACCCAGAGAGAATAAGGCCTTCAATTACCGCAGTGATATAATTAATGAATTTATGACGGCAGCCAGACAGCAGCGACAGCAACACTGACTTACTTCACTGCAATCTACCCTGCTGACTAACGCTCATATCAACACCTCTAGCAACCAACCAGCCACCAGCCCCTTTGCTGGCTGAGATCTCATGTGATTTCTCCAGAGAGAACCTTTCCAGATCATTTGAACTAATTGAGGTAATGGAGAAATTGTTCTCATGCCAAAACACTTTTTTTTTTTTTTTCTTTCCCTCCCCCTCTTCTTTTGGTAAGATGATAATATTTGGAAGGCTTCTGGCTACTGCTTAAAGGAGCAGGGAAGCAATGCTGAGCAGCCGAGAGGTTGGATCAGCTGCAAATTGTCTTCCTTGCAGTGCTGGAAGCCAAACTGCACCCCAACATCTGCTAGAGCCTCTGGTGAGCAGCAACACCCCTGCAGCAGGAGCACGCTGTGCACTGATTGCAGCAATCAGCTGTAATGGTATTTACAGCTTCTGGAAGCAAGGGCAGCAGCAGCATGGGCTCCACAGGAGCTGACCCTGGCTCCCAGTCTGTGCTGGGGATGGGGCTTGCTGGGTTCAGGGTTGGCTTCAAATAGCCAAACCCCACTGAGATCTTGCCCTTAACCTCTGCCTCAGCTTACCAGTCTGGTGACCCTTAGATTCAACTGCTTGCTACAGGTTGGTGGCTGTTTGCTGGGGTATGAATGATGGGGCACACCTGAATTTGTCTGGGGGCTTCCCACATTGCTCCAGTCTTTGTCAACCTGGTGTGATAGGTTTAAGACTTGGAGAACAGATTGCTCTGGGGCAGTGCCTGGAAAGGAAGATAACAAGCCAGCCACAGCTGGTGTTGGCCTGATGCAAGCTTTGGATCTCAGTAGGACAGCACTTCTGAAAAACACCGTCTTGTCCCTTTCAGGTTGCCTGACCATGACTCCTATGTTACCCAATGCGGACAGATTGGGGCTCTCAGACCAGCAGCAACCTCAGCCCTTGGAGAAACACTCCATGAGGCAGCATCCTCTGTGTCCCAGGAATGAGGAAAATCCAGAAGAAAAACTCAAAGCAGACAATTCTGGTCAACAGAGCAGATCCCTGTGACCAGGCAGGGAGTGGTGTGAAAGGCTTCGCATAAAATGAAGCTGGAAGGGCAAAGGAGGGAAATCTTTTCTTTCCCATCGGGAAATTCAGCCTGAAGTCTCCACAAGAAATGCTGGGATGCAAAACAAAGCCTGGGCTGCTCTAGACAGGAATGTACCAAAGTCCTTTGCCTTCAAGATGTGTGGGCTTGTGAAGGACAGAAATGCAGCACTGGGTGGGCCGGTGCAGGCTGTAATTTTTTTAATTTTTTTTTTTTAATTTTTTTTTTTTTTGCTACAACGCAGATATAAAATGCTCATTTTCATGTTTCATAACATTCTTCCTAAAGCACATTTTTGGGTTTTGTCCAAAGACACAGCAACCCCCCTGACAGCCCGCTGCCTGGGTTTGCACATGCACCGACCGTCTGAGAGCAATGAATCCTGCTGCATCCTGAGCTCCCCCAGCGCCTATCCCACATTGCACCAATGCTTGGAGAGGGAAATAAAACCAGCTGGGTGCCACCAGTCCTGCTGCCCTGCTCCAGTGGCTGCTAATTGCACAGAGCTGCCACAACTGGTGTTAATCATAGCACAGCATCTAGAGGCCTCTAGTGTCCAGAAGCTACACGAACTCGGCCAATAGGTGGCTTGCCCAGAAAAAAAATAAATCAAGAATAAATGCATTTTGCAGTATTTGCATGCAATAAAGAAATGGTTTCACAACTAGCACTACAGTCCACAATTGCTCATTAGTGCCAACACAAACCTGCAGTACTCATCACTGCATGGATGACCTGTGCCACAGCACAGCATCCAGCAATAACCAAATGTACACATGACCAGAATGATATGGGAAAGGACAGCACGTGTAATAGCATACACTTAATAGTACTCACCTTTGAGAAGAGAAATGCAGCCTTTGGTCACACAGGAATCCTCAGAGACTTAGATTTCCACACGTTGAGTCCCTCGGCACTAGAAAGAATAGAGGACAGGTAAGAATAATCACAGGAATGGCAAACACTGGTGGTACCACTGCTCCTTGGAGGCATCTGACTGTGCCATGTCCTGAGCACAAAATATTGCTCCTGCTCAAGCAAGCCAGGGTAACATGCATTTAAAGAAGAGAGGGGAGAAGGTTCTAATGACTTCTTGTTTTCTACAGTTCCCCCAGTTAGCAAACATCCCATAAGGACAGAGAGGGAGAAAGAAACAAAACACCATGCACTGCCACAGCCCTGCCCAGTGCAAGCACTTCCATCTCCCCTGGCTCTGGGCATTCCATCACACCATGTATCCTGGCCATACTGTCACAGTGGGACTGGAGTCTTCCATGCCTGCAGTATTCCCACTGGGTCCTGGCACTGTGGCTCATTCAATGCAGGCAGGAGAATAAAAACTGCAGACTTCATTAATGGCAGCTCCCCATCCTGGCTCATGGTGCCAAAGAGGCAGTGCCAGACCTGACACTAGGCTGCAGGACACGGCTTGGGTTCTGCTCCCCTGCTTTATTCCCTCTGCTGTTCCCTTGCCATGCCAGCAGCTCACACTGCTCGGATCAGTCATGGAAAATAGCAGCAGCCTTCTTGTGTTTTATTCCCCCCTTCCTGGTTTGCACTGTCAGGTGCCTGCCTGTCTTTTCTGGTTTGGATCTCTTTAAGAGGTTTTATGACTGGACAAAAAAAAGAAAAAAGAAAAAAGAAAAAGAAGCCAGCTTTCAGATCTGATAGCATCTTTAATAGTTTTTGCTACTGGGAGAAACCATGTGCCTTAAGCAGAGCAGCACCACGTGGCTTTTCCTGACACTCTCCCAGCCCTCCTAGAAAGGAAAAGCAAGCAGGAGTCCAGCAGGAAATGCATAGCAAAGCAAAACAGCACAGCCAGGAGGTCTGGGAGAGATGCACATACCTCACAACAGCAGTGTGGGCATAGAGACGGGGCCCAGTGGTCCCCATGTTTATTCCCGCATTTCCAGAGGAATCAAGGCTTTAAGTTCCCAGTAACTCTGGAAGTAAGAGGTCACCTTCTTCCAAACCTGAGCAACTCGGGACACTCTCAAATTGATGCAGATTCCATGCAAACAGGAGGCTGGGAGAGGAGACAGCCTCACAGTTTACCTGCCTCTGCCTGCACACCCAAAGGCTCTTAGCTCAGAGGGTGTAAAAAGAAAGAAGAGCAGAGCATTGGCTGCATGGGAGCAAAAGGAGTTCATAGCAGAGTGAGGTCCCAGGTTTGTGCAAGCCATCTGATCCTGGGGGAATGAACCCTGCCCAGCTGGGGCCTTGCTCCTCCCGTTAATCAGCAATTAAGGCAGCAGAGGAGACTTAATGGAGCTGTATATTAGCTTATCTCAAATGGCAGATCAAGGAGGAGAGCACTTTAAGCATGGAGCTGGTTTATCTCTCAGGGAGAAGCAGAGCATTTCTTTCTCTCTGTCCCCTGCCCCTGTGATTTATACTGACCTGGCATTTGCATTTACACCACTACACCAGGCTCTGACAAGAACCTCATTAAATCTTGCAATAAATCAGTTCCTCTGACAAGTATCCTTTTGCTGCCTTTGGAAATGATGAGTGTACACATTTGGGGACTTATGCCCATGCTTGTTCACAAACGTACACACAGAGATGCACACACACATGCATATGAAGACACATATATATATATTTTAATTCTTGACATCCTGAAAGGCTTTCCAGGGATGAAATATTACACTCATCAGCAGGCAAAAAAAAAAAAAAAACAACAAAAAAAAAACAACACCACAACACCCACAAGAGTTATAGAGAAAGAGAGACTCAGGGTGAACTGGGCTGGATGGGTCCCTGCCAGAGGGTCCCTGGGATCCCCTGCAGATCCAGCACTTCTGGAGGTGGGGGGCAATGGCACCCACTGTGCTCAGGTGGCTGAGAGCTGGGATGGGCAGAAACCAGATGGCACAGGGACATTTGTATTTGTAAGGAAGGCTAGAACTGAGCCTTTTGGAGATCGCATTCAGAAAATACACGTGTGTTAAAATGAGAAAGAAAAGCCAATTAAAAATCGGTCAAAGTATAAAATTAAAAGAAAATAAGCATAGTGGAAGCAGCAGCCTCAGCCCTCACAAGAGAATAACTCCGCTCTCAAATCCTTGCAGACAGGATTTGAAAGCCCAGGAGTGAAAGGGCCTGATTATTATGGATAAAAGAACAGAAGCACACGGACACAAATTCCTCACTGCTTACGGAGCTGTGGCATGACACTGAAGTCTTCCTTAGGCTCACGCAGGCACACGAGGGCCCTCACTCCACTCTCAAGAAGTGGACATTAACTCTGTATACCAAGCCTTCTGGTCTTGGAGGACATGGGCTGTGCACATAGGAGCTAACCAGAGGGAACGGGGGCAAGGAACCTCCTGCAGGACGCAGGACATGGGTGGATCAGCTCCCACATGCAACGTCTCCTTGCTTTCCAATCACAAGGTGTCTCCTGACTAAATGAAAAGGTCATTTCCCATTCTTGCTGTAATAACGCGATCTGAAAATAAACTCTTGCCTTAAAAAAAAAACCATCTCCGCTGGCTTTCAGAAAACAGAGAGACTGAAATAAAGGGGAAAAAATAATAAAACAAAACACCCAACAACAGGAGAGGTAGAAAAGAAAAAAGAAAGAAAAAGTAAAGTCATAAGTTGTGCTGTTCTTCTCGCCAACATCCACAAATCCTCATCCAAATAACCTCTCATTTACATGCATGTTTATTTAGCTTTCATGGCCGTCTGGAAATCAGAACTTTTTTCCCCTCTTCTTGTCTAAGATAAAGATGAGGAGAAGTGGGGAAACGGAGGCTCTATTTGTCAGACCATTGCCACGACTGGCTGCCTGGCCGAACACCCAGCTCATGCGTTGGGGGCCATGGCCTGGGTTGAAAAGGACCATTATGAGCATCCAGTTTCAACCTCTCTGCAATGTGCAGGTCACCAAGCACCAGCCCAGGCTGCCCAGAGCCACGTCCAGCCTGGCCTTGAATGCCTCCAGGGATGGAGCATCCTCAACCATGGGCAGAGAACGTGTTTTAAAAGTGATCTTTTTTAAAAGTGATCTGATAGAAAGCAAAATAAACAAAAAGGTTAATTCCTGAGAAAGAGCTCCTTCCAAACCCATCCTACCATCAGTATAAATGTTTCTGAGCTTTTTAACCCGGTCTTTGTGGAAGGTGACCTTTCCCCTGAAAATCTCTATGTTGGTTTAATCAGATTTTCTTAAATAAGTTATTTTGTCATTATTAATTAGGTTGCTAAATATCTCAGGGAGGAACTGGAACTCGACCATAGGTTAACACAAGGTTTGGAAGCATTCTTTGCTCTAAAGATGCACATGAAACTCACGCTTCTTGACAGAAAAGGATTCAGGTAATATTTAAAAGGATTTGTGTTCTTTGAGGATCCAGAAAGCCTATAGCAGAAAATATCATCTGCTTCTGAGACTAAGAAAACCTTCACTGCAGTATGAAATGGAGTAGACGTAATTAAACACCAAATAGCCAACTGATGTTGTTTCCTAGTCATTAAATCACAACGCAAGTGGCTCTCATCATGCAAACACTCACACATGCTTAACTTGGGCCGTGGGAGGACCCTGAAGTGGAAGTAGCTGAAATAAGCCCCATGCACAGGTAAACCCACACTGCTTTCACATTTCTTCATTCTGACCACCTAACAAACTGAAGCTGGAGAATAAAGACATGACCCATTCTCTGGGCCAGCAAAGGTGGGCACTGCTTTATCCTTCAACACTCAGCTAGGCATAAAGAGGACATACTTACCATACTTAACTGAAATAGATAATTTCTGAATGCTTTGAGAATCCCTTTCCATCAATGTTTTTAAGCTCCTTCTGGTAGTGGCCAAGAAGTCAAGTTAAGGAGTACTTTGCTTATTACTACATACTTCTTTACAGATTTTATTTTGCATTGATGGCTAGAGCTGTATAATTTCCCTGATGCGGGCGAAGACCTACTAATATAAAAACACTTATATTCATACAGCTTATTCCTGTATGAGAAAAGGGAACAAGCTTAGATGGTATAAGGCACCCTTATGCTGTCCACACTACAGGATATGCTGCTGTAACTGTATGGGTAAAATATCACAACCGCAGCCAACATAATTACACCGGTACAAAAGATACTGTGTGTAGACCAGAGCTACACATGCCACTTCCTAATACTTTCATTTGCCACTTTTGGCCACTCTTGTACCTGAATTAAATCCCTTCTTTCAGCTAGGTCCTCCTTCCATCCCAAGCAGCAGGAAAACAAGTGGCCAATTTACTGGGTCAACAGATACTGCTGACACAGGCAGGGCCAGGACAGTCCCTGCGTCAGAGGAAGGTGTCTCCTTGTTTTGCCGCTCATCATAAAACCATAGAATCATTAGGGCTGGAAAAGACCGCTAAGGACATCAAGTCCAGCCATTAACCCATCACCACCATGCCCACTAAACCACATCTAGCCTTTTCTTGAACACCTCCAGGGATGGTGACTGCACCACTCCCCTGGGCAGCACGTTCCAATGCCTCATCGCTCCTTCAGAGAATAAATTTTTCAACCTGAACCTCCCCTGGTGCAGCGTGAAGCCATTCCCACTCATCCCACTGCTGTTACTCAGGAACAGAGGCTGAGCCCACCTCGCCACAACCTCCTTTCAGGTGGTTGTAGGGAGCAATGAGCCGTCCCTTGAACCTCCTGTTCTGCAGACTGAACCATCCCAGCTCCCTCAGCTGCTTCCCATAAGACTTGTGCTTCAGACCCTTACAGCTCCACTGTCCATCTCTGGACACATACTATATAAAAAGCAAGGGCTGCCCTAGTAGCCAAAATAGCTTCTCAGCCTTGTGCCGATGGGACAAGCGTTTAAGATCGCAGAGTAGCACAGGGAAGATCTTCAGCTCCTCAGGGCTTCCTCGCCCGCTTTGGAGCTGACCAGAAG